CAAAGTTCCCCCTCGCTTATTCTTATTATTCTCCCCAACTATGTCATCCATCTTTACTGTCAGTATTGAGTGAGCATAGAGAACAGCTGTTCATGTACCTTTGTAGTTTGTTGGAAATGCTTTTCATAACGCGCTGCCAAGTCTTTCAACCATCACATGGATGCAGTGACTGACTTGACTAAATTAGTGTTGAAAATCCGGATCTTGTTCTTTATGCCGAGTACAATAGAGTACAGTAGATCTCCATGCTAATTTTAGATTAAGTGGTATTTAAATTAACAGAGAACATCAGTATCTTATATATTGATAATTGGTTGCTATAATAAGTCTGTACAATGAGAAAAGCTATTTCAAACAAGATTCATCACCAATAACGTCTAACGATTTTATACAAGAAAACTGGAAGATTGATATCAGTGAAGTGAGATAGTGTGAAAATAATAAAATGATAAATTCCAAACGAATCCTATAATTTTTCACTGAAAAGTACTTTTCAATTTGCTGACTGTCTTCTTCGTCATTATCATCATCAATATTAACATAAGAACAGGTATTACTACACAACTATCCAAGTTGCCATGCCTCATATCAGTACATCAAGTAAAAAAAGCAATTTGATGAAATATGAAGAAAGACAAATGGGTGAAAAATAGTAGAATGTAATAAAAGAGAGGAAGGTGGAATTAAAAAATACTGAATTCAGTATGACAGTTAAGACGATGATGATGTGTGGACACATCTGTACCACTGATATAGATTTTCAGCCATATCACTCAGGGTCTCCAACCACTGGTGTTAGTTTCAATTGGACCCCAACTAGCTTGTCTTCATCTTCCAACATGGTGAAAACTGACAGTTAAAGACTTCATGAAGGGATGCTGTATTTTAGCATGGTCACCCGAAGTCTTTCTTCAGTTTGAACATACTCCAGCTAACATTGTTGTATGACTCAGACAGTAACTAGGCATGTGTAACATGTGTCCCAGCCATCTTAATCGATGAAGGTATACTCCTTTCTAAAACTTTTCACCTGACTTTTGCTTTACTTACGGGATAACACCATGACGTGACTCATGCTACGAAGGCCTAGTTTTATGGCGTTTATTGTTCTTGAGCTTCACTCAGACGTCTGATAAATAACGAACTTAGGATCTTAAACACTATGTTCTTCAAGCTGATTTCCTTCAAGTTGTCATAACAAGACTTCTCATTTCTCTTGAAGACTGGAACAAACAGTGATAGAAACAAGTCAAAAGTAATCATATCTGACTTCCATACACCAGTTAACACTTCATATAGCTTGACCAAACACTCTTGAATACTGTCGTTAAATAACTCTGGAACTAGTTCTCCTGCTCCTAGTGTTCTTCCTCATTTCAGAATACTATTTCCACAGATATTGGAAGTCTTATCGCTATGTTTCATAAAGAAGCCTATTGGATATTGAGCAACGAAATAGTAGCTGGAAACCAACCAGTTGAACTGTTCCTCGAAGTGTTTCACACGTCATTAAGTGGTCTCCCCTCCGATTGATCGTAAACCCGTACTTTTCCACAACGGACTCACTAATTGCTAACTTTTTGCTTCAGTTTCCTTAATAAGTTTAACTAGCTGTATACAGTTGCCTATTGCTACCCACCATTGTTCATGGTCATAGCGTGGATTTTTTATCAGTCTATATTTGGGTTTCATTTACTCCTCATTGTACTCGGAACCTATAGGGATGCATTTGCTTGTATCCATTAATTCAGAAGCAACTACTAAAATCTGCTGGCTCTTTTTAACCATTTTCTGAAAGTCGACTACGTTCTTCATCACAAATTTTACAGTAGATTAGAAGTGGCGCCAGGCTTCTTTTGAATTAGTAATATTGTTCTATTCCAATAACTGTCAGGCCACTCTCACTGAAAACAGCCTTGATGCTCTAATTGTCAAGCTGCACTCACAACAGTCTTGTTGCTAAAGTTTTCCTACCTCCTTTTAGAGACTGATATACACGTGCTCGAATCAACTTGTGGTCCAGATAAGCACTTCATAAGGGGCGGCAGACTTCCACCAACCCTGCTCACTGATAACTGATGACAATATCGTCTGTCTGTGTCCACCACTGAGTTGAAGTCGGTGGAAGCCATGTTAGACAGTGTTTCTATCAATATCTGAAGTGTTTGCTGACTTTCTTAGCTACATGAATACATAAAAAGATGACTGTGTACTCTTCTGATGTAAATTCTTTATTCACTAACATCCCATTGTCCATGACTGTTAACATCCTCTGTGATTAAATATCGTCTAGGAATCTGCTATTCCCTTACTGCCCCAACTTTTCGGAGGAAACTATCATTGTTATGGACTGATAAAGTTCATTTAGCATTTGAAGGTGAACATTTTCGACAAGTTGTGGGGTTTAGTTATAGAAAATTCTTTTAAGACCATTACTAGTTGAAGCTTGTTTGTCATAAATTAATAACCTGGCTGGTGACCTCTACACTAAAGTTCCACTTTACAAGAATGGTGTCAATTATATTGTAGTGATTTTCGGGAGGGATGAGGATATGGTTTGTCTACTAAAAAGACTTTACATTGTACAAACTCACACATCTTGACTTGTGAGAAAGAAAATAATAATCATCTGCCATTCTTAGACAAAATTCTGAATCGATGAGAAGATGGTCCAATAAAACGGTCAGTTCACAGAAAGCCTACATGAACAGGACTACATCTAATTTCTCACAGTTTTCGTCTGGTCCATTACAAGTGAGGTCAATAAGACGTTCATATAACAGGATCTACCATATTTGTACATCAGATACGATGAATGAAGACATCAAATTACTTACAGAAACACTTAGGCTATACGGATATTTGTTGAAGCTTACAAACCGTTGGAGGAGTCTGGTAGCACCAAAGCTAACTCTATACACGGTTCTTAAGAGAAGCGTCCATATCACTCTACCATACGAAAGGTGGTTGAATAGTATCATTTTGAGACGTAGGCTAATAACAACCATTAGGAAAATATATATTACACAACTAATCTTATTATTGTGAAAAGAAAACAAAACATATTTCACCACAAACCTAAACACTACATCAAGGATTACATGACATCCCATTGTGTTTACCAGCCTACAGGTGTATGTGTTCACACATACATAGAGAGGAGTAATCGAGCCATGCAGTTGAGGATGGGAGAACATGTATCTGAATGGCTTCAAAAATAAATGGAATGTAAAACCATGATAAACGCTAGTTGGAGATGACCCCCTTCATTAAAACATTGTAGAAACAGGTCACAAAGTTGATATTCAAACAGCTTTCAGTGTTTATACAAAAAACGTTAAGGACGCATTCTGAGATTCACAGAGACGATAGCCATACAAAAAACTGAAACCACTTTTGTGTGTACTAAAACAATTTTGCTCTTGTAGTAAACCTACCCTGATCAAATTTGTATTCTTACCAAGACTATGATCTGCTATGTCATTATTCCTTTTTGTTCTCATCTTTATTAATTTTAATCCCACATTATCTTAATTGTCATATTTGTCCTCTCGTTCACTCTTCCGTTTAAAATAAATTGACTTGAGAAGTAGATATCTGATCAGATTGTTATGGTACTGATGATTTCTTGTTGTTATACACGACCGAATTGCTTGACCTCTGTTGTTGGCAGATGGGTTCCTACGAGGATGCCATGATTACTACTGCTTATTATTTCTCCTTCGAGTTCCTAGTGGAACATACGACTTCAGTAGCAAGTCGCCATTTCGTTCTCTTCTTTGCTGTCTATTCAACCTGGCTCCACTACTGATCACAAGCTTTCATTTCTTCTCCACATGATCTCCACCATGTTACCCTCACCTCGAATGCCCAACTCGTCGTTTCCTATCTGAGTTCCACTCAACGGTCTGGCCTGACATGTGATGTCCCCACACCGACTTCTCAGTGTATGCTCAATCCATCTCCACTTCTACTTTCTTCTGCATATTTGTTGAGTGATGGATTCTTGATTGGTTAGTTGCCAGAGTTCTTTGTTGCTTACTCTTTCTCGCTATCTGATCTTCAGTACCGAGCCAGCATAGGCAGTTGTTGATGAATGTCTGTGGTTTGTTGGAAATGCTTTTCGTAACGCACCAACTCTCTTAACCATCACGTAGTAATTAACAGGGGAATCCAAATCGCACATTTCGCCTAACTTGGAACTCGTCACCTGGATGTCTTTATCTCCCAGTGACAGATCCTGAATAGAACGAAACGTGTGTCCTAGACTCCACTGCTAACTATTATCCATTGTTACTAACAGACTGATATTGCCAACAACATCAAGGTATCTGTGCAGAAATCGATATACTAAGAGTGGTCAGTCGATTCGGTCTAATCAAGGATGAGAAATTACAAGCCATGACATCTAAGTTCATTTTAGTCTAGAAAAAGTGTTTATTGAGAACAGAGTTCCCAGGTGTTGGGTTAGCCAAACTTAAATACATACTGTGACTTTACAAGAACCAGATATGGTAAAATCCGCAGATTTATTTATGATTACTGTTTCTACTATTTATTGATATACTTGTTATTCTCCGTTGTTTTTTTGGATCGACTTATTCAACCTATGCGGATGTCTTAATATTGCCCGAATGTTAATTATGATGATTTTACTTAGTTGTGGTGGCTAACAGAAAAATCCAGAACGCGTGTTTTATCCTATCTTGGACTCGTCAGCTGGATATACCTGCACCCCATTGAGTGGCGTCGTCCTCATTGGGACTTGAACCTCGTACCTATCGTCTTAAACTCCCAAGCGTTGTCCACTATGCTAAAATCACTACGCACTGGGGTGCAGGTAACTCCAGCTGAAAAGTCCTAAATAGGACAAAACACACTTCCTGGATTCTTCTGCTAGCTATAACCAAGCAAAATTATCATAATTACTGGTTCTGTTACAGTACAATTCTACGAAAGTTATCTGTAATTAATACACTACACAATACAACAATACTTACTTCTATGATTTAATGAGATTTGATTATAAGGCAAACCAGACGGTTCATAGCCAACATATTGATGAACATATTCGGGCCCCAGATCAGTCAATGCAAGTGCATAAGTGATTGGTTTACTGCTTGACTGTATTGTAAATGGAATATTGCTATCTCCCATAGATAATCTATACAAAAGAAAGAAAGAGACATTCGTGGATACAGCAAAGTTTAAGAAATTATTATATGGAATCCTTCAACTGGATTGGTTGTTGTTCTTCTTGAATAAGAAGAAAACAATGGATCACCTAGTAATTGATCTGTTCCACAATCACAGAAAAACAGGTTATCACCACTTAGGATTGGAAAAAACCAAAGTGGTTACCATCTAATCACAGCCGGAATAACTCAATGCTAGGATCTTTAAATCCCAAGCTGTATGACGTCAGTTAGAACCTGTCACCAGACAACAGTTTACTTGAGGTTGTAGATACGCCTCACAGGCAAATGCCAGTAAGCATGAGTCACATAAGGGTCAAGGAATATAGATACCTAACTGACTGACTACTTCATTTTCTCCTTATATATAATCTCCTCATATCGTCATCGTAAGTCTGTTTGATGCATCTTGTCGATCAGTTATACTTGAGGGTCATTTTTCTTCTCATACTGTTTGTCATTTGTTATGAGGAGAACAACTGATGATATAAATCTGTCGTCCTATGTTGTAATGATGGATAGTGCCTGGCAATAGAATTCAGGTTGATGGGCCTTTTGTCTTATTTGAGACTAGTCAGCTGGTGGGTGTACCTGCTTCGCGGTGAGGGATTTCTTGCCCACTAGGACTCGAACCCGACACCTATCGCTGCAAACAGCATTATTCACTAGGCAACCAGGTCATGACAGCTACTTTTTATGAGGTGAGTGTAGATTTTATATTGTAACCTGTATTACCGCCATAGTTGATTGTACCAAAGTGATCAGTCACTATTGGGATGTGGTCTCCTGGGTCATGGATTCCACTGCTAGCCACTACTCATCTTTACTATAAAACTGAACCTATAGGCAATATAGAGGCCTCCTCGCAGCAACGCATATCCCTATACAGTCAGATCAATTCAGTACAGTCAATGGTGACATAATACAAGCAACAACTATAACCGTCGCATGAGTAGTCACTATTGTAACTCTGTGGCCTAGTGGATAACGCTATGGCGTTCGAAGCAAACTGTCTGGGCTCCAGTCTTACAGGGAACAACATCGCTGATTGAGGGGGGAGGCATATCCAGTTGACGAGTCCAAAACAGGACGAAACATTCACTCTGGATCCCACTACTAGTCAGTATCCATCATTACTATACGATAAACAATCATTCAGTAAAAAATGAAAGATTTTCTAAAAGTTTCAAAACTCAAAAGCTTATATAGAGAAAGGATTATTAAAGATACAATGAAACATGAATCACATCACAGTACCTACTGGTTAGAACTCCTGCATAATAAAGGTTCTCTGGCAGCCATCACTATCATTAATGTGTACTTATAGATTAGAGTTTTCCGTTGATTAACTCTAAGCATTAGACACCACAACCAAAGCCACTCTTGATAGTTCAGATAATAATCAGTTTCTTTCCATTTAGATAAGCATAAGATACGTGGTTGAATGCCTACTGAAGCTCAATTATTCCTGACTTATGAAACCATTGCTTATCACCTTCCTATTCGCTATATTCAGTTCCAGGAAAACTGACTCTATTTCACTTACTCTATTTTTATATCATTTGAATTCAGGTTCATATTTCACAAACTGATGACACTATGTGAGTATATGTATCTCAGATTATCAGATTACTTTCAACTATATTTACTGGTCATAAAACAAAGTTCGAACAGTAGTTACAGAGGAAGTCCCAGTAGAAGAATATTCGAAGGGACCCGAAGAATAAGTAAATCGGGCACTAAACACTCAGATATCATAACATAAGTAATCCATTAGATTCACTCCAAGCATAGCTAAATGTTATCATTAACTTTTAGCTCAGAGACACACTTCTGTCCATAATCCTTTAAATATAAGACATATGGCTGAAATTAACCTCGCCTGGTTAACTAGTTCACTAGTTACTAGACGGTCCTAAACTCGGATAAAGAGGGAAGGATAGGTATACGGCTAGCAACCCCATCCCGTAAAACCAATCCAATCTCCAAACAAACTTCAAAGCACAAAGAAAATATAGAAAATAATAAACTTATTCCTCACTGGAATCGGAGAGACGAAATGATGTCAGCTGCTGAAAGCCTTCCGGGAAGCCAATTAGCCGATGTGTCTTCTCTCGATGAAAGTGAAAGTAAGAATAGGGGCATGGAATGTCTGCACCATGTTTGAAGCTGGCTGGCTGGCAAGGTTGCCCAGATTGCAAAAGTGTTGAGAAGACATAGAATAGAAGTGCTAGGAATCTGCGAGGAATATGCAGATGGAATGGAAGTGGACTCTCCAAACTGTCAACTGGACAGTCAATAATCTACCTCAATACTGTCACTCAGACGACAACCACGAGCACACTAAGGGAGTGGCTATCATGATGCCCACAACAGCATCGAAGGCTCACTCTCATGCAATGGGAACCAATCTCCTCCTCCAGCATCAGCATCATGACAGCAAGGTGGATTCAACTCAAAAGGAAGGAAAGTCACAATCATACAATGCCTGGCTAAGCACCTACAAATAATACAGATCAAGAAAAGAACGAGGAATTCTACAGACAACTACAACCAGTAATGGACAAGACCCCATCCCAGGTGGTGACATGAAAATTCATTCTGTTGGGTGACATGTTTCAATGCCACACTGGGAGCGGACATCAGAGGAAGAGAACTCACCATGGGTTGAGAAGTACTTGGTGAAGTGAACGAGAATAGAGAACTGTTTGGAGACTTCTGGCAATTCAATGACTTGGTGATTGGAGGTAGTGTAGACAAGCAAAAGGATATTCACAAAGCGACATGGATTTTATTTCACCAGACATCAGGACACATTAAAAATCCACTTCAGATCGACTTCATTTCACTCTGAAGAAAGTGGAGATGCAGTCAGCCTACTGAACACAAGATGAAGAAGGGGAGCAGATGTATATTCACACCACTCACTACCTAGTGAAAAGAACTAACCTACCAAATCAAGTTGAAAGCCTTCAAAGAAGCTGGTCACACCCGACCACAGCTGAAGTTGAACAAATTAAAGGACGAAACTACATAGGACATCTTCACGCCAGTCAGTCATCAGGAAAAAATGAGAGACATTGAGCAACATCCCTGAAGGAACCTGAGTGGAAGAACACTGTAACTATGAAAATGCTGTGACGTGGAAGGAAACCTCATAACCGCTTTGGGAAGCAAGCAGGAGCAAGACAAGGAATGGATCTCGATGGATACATGAAAGCTGATAGAGGAGCGAAAAGAAGATTGCGATGGTGAAGCAGTGCAGGCATGAACAACGAAAAGTGGAACTGAACACAATCTATAAAACACTACACTGGACGAAGAAGTGAAGAAGAGTGCGAACAAAGACAAAAGACACTTCTGCTACACATTGACACGCAATGTAGAACAGTCTGCTGGTAGGAGAGACAGAGACCTGACAACATTACATCAAATAACCAGATTACTATCTAGAAGGAAAGAGATCAACACGGGTAAAACCAATGAAAGATAGTGAAGAAAACTTAGTTACCCCCAAAGAGGAGAAACAAAGGAAACAATGGGCTGACCACTTCAGAAAACTCTTGAACCAACCACCACCACCTGCAACTAGTCCAGAAATACCATCGGTAACCCAGACACAGAAATACCAGTGAACACAAACCCTCCTACAAAAGCAGAAGTGAAGTCCTGAATGCCATAAAGTTACTGAAGGCCGGGAAAGCAGCAGGATCAAATGGAATTCCTCCAGAAGCACTGAAAACAGACGCAGAGATATCAGCGAACATGCTCATCCCACTATCGCAGAAAGTTTGGAAGAAAGGAGAGAAGGAAAGGTACTTGCAGATTGACTAGAAGAAGTGCTACATTATCAAACTCTCAAAAAAGGATGACCTAAGTCTTTCCAAGAGTTGGCGCGGAATCATGCTTGATTCATATCCACCCAAAGCAAGCAAAATATTGGGCCACGTCATCCTGGAAAGACTAAACAATGCACTGGATTCAAAATTACTACCAGAACAGGATGGCTGGCTGACTGGCTTCAAGAAGAAAAGATCAAGTGAGGATCAAATTGCAACGCTGCGCTAAGCATCATCATAGAACAGAGCATAGAATGACAGTCAACTCAACTTCATGGACTTTGAAAAGACTTTCGATAGCGTCAACCGAGAATCAATTTGGCAGGCAGCTACTTTAACACTACGGTTTCAGTGCCACAAACCTTCATCAATCTTATTCAAAAGCTATATGCTGTATAAAGATGTAACATGCCAATTGATTCACAATGGAAAGCTCAGCGATACCTTTAAAGTGAAGACAAGAAGGAGTAAGACAAAGGTTGTTGCCTACTATCACATATAATCTTCATGACTGTGATTGACTAGACTGGACTGGATCATTCAGGAAACTATGAGTATCTGTGAGAAGATGGGTATACGCTGTTTGACTGATGAAAAGACCCAGAAGAAGATTTGAATTTCACCAAAGATAATGATTTATGATTAATATTGTAGAAGCTCAAAGATCTACAGGCGAAAGGTGATAATAACGCTAAGAAAAAACCAAAAATATCATTATCATCATAGTGGTAGTAGTAGTAGTAGTAGTGTGAGTAGTAGTAGTAGTAGTATCAGTGGAACGATACAGCTATCAGGTGCTACCAGTATTCCAGTCGTTCCGTGACTGATGTTATTCCATGATGATCAACCAAATCAAAAGATAAGATCCCCACTAACCTTAAACTATATATCTCCTTCACTTATTGATTTTTTTTTAATCCAGCAGAAAATTAAGGAATTCAGATCACTTACCTTTGTCCATCTACAGTGCACAGTGATAAACCCCAATAATTAGGATTTACTTGTTTCAACTCAGGTATATAACTGGCCACATTTCCATCATTATTATCTTTACACATATTGAAAATCGCTTGAATTTCACTTTCAAATGATTGAAAATCTGGTATACAAAAATCATTTGTCAGAATACGCAGTAACATGTGAAGATTTTCTTTAGTTACACTGAAAATAAAAATAATCATAATACTGAACTGTTACATACAAGTTCAGCAGAACTGAAGACTTCAGTACCTCATTGTCTATTTGATAATGAAAAAATTATCATATATTAGACTATAACCATTTTACAAGGAAAGGCTTTTTTTTAACTCGAGAGCCTAGTAAAACACCTTGTGGTGTGTTTGAAACCATGATGGCTTCGTTCAAGTCATGGTGAGAACAAAATTGGTTATTATGATGCAAGTATATTCAGATGATGACTCTTAACTAGGGAGAAACATACACCTTAGATTCTATTGTTATCCCATACAAGTCTAGTCATAATTATCAAACTAAAATTAGCCGCATCATAACGACAAGTAATCTGATAGCTACAAAATGTATAATTTTGACATAATCATAGGTTTCTTCACCCTATAACACCTCAATATTCGTGTTTTTGCTATGCTTTTTCGATGCCTATGAATCACAAACTTAACAAAAAACAAGTTAATTTTCACTTTGTCATCCTAAAAACTACCTGGTACTACCTTAACCAAAATACTGAAATCTGATTGGCTATTGTATCAGTTACTAGAGTGGTCCCAAAAACTCACTACTTTAAAGATCAGTTTTTCTTCCCTTTCCATTGTAAAACAGGAGACAAGTTGAAATGCAACGCTATCCTTGTATCTCAAGTTATCTCAGTTATACACATATGCAATTGAATCCTATGTCCATGAGGTACAGCAATTCACAAAAGTGAAATAATTATTTCAGGTTATTATTCATCGTAGACTAACATCAGTTAGATGGACAAAAGAAACCTGGGAGCACTTGACAGCTATTTCGTCCTAGTATGGGACTCCTCAGCAGTGCGCACCCACGAACCCACCAGGGATCGAACCTGCGACCTTCAGGTCCCACGGCTGGCGCGTTACCATTAAGCCATTGGGTACTCTTGAAGTTCCAATGAGAAGTCGTGACCGGTGGGGCGAAGGCTGATGGTGGTGAGGATAGTTACTCAACGATGATATTGGGTGGTGGTTGCGCTGTGTCATGAGCTAACAGAAGTTGGGAATATGGAGCACTGGATTCTGACCCAGTGACTCAATGGTAATGCGCTGGCCGTGGAACCTGAAGGTCACGGATTCGACCCCTGGTGGGGTCGTGGGTGCGCACTACTGAGGGGTCCTGTACTAGGACGAAACAGCTGTTCAGTGCTCCCAGGTTTCCTTTGTTCCTCCAATTGATATCAGTCTACGATGAATAACAACTTGAAATATTTCCAAATCCCCACTCACTCAAAATTCAAATAATTATTTGCCTAAACAGATACTAGAAGAATACATATAGAATCCGGTGAAGAATCAAGAAGTAGCCCTTGACTTTAGATAGACAACAATACCATAAAATATGTTAAGGGTAAGTCGTTTTTTTGAAATAAATGGGGAAAAACCAGGCAATGATGCTTTTTTGCGATTCGGAATTTCCTGCATTTCTATCCACACAGGAACCAACCTGCAAAATGTGTACTTGTCAATTTGATCTAGTCAACGACGGATAACCAAGAGGTGAGATATCAGAATAAAATGCATTTTGCTACAACATTGGCTATCTGAGACAGAAGTATCTCGAAAGACTAATACTGATACTGGGTCAGAAATCTCAAGAAAGTTGTCCCATTCACCTACCTACCTACCTAACTACCTACCTACACACCTACCTACCTACCTACACACCTACCTACCTACCTACCTACCTACACACCTACCTACCTACACACCTACCTACCTACCTACCTACCTACCTACCTACACACCTACCTACACACCTACCTGCCTACCTACACACCTACCTACACACCTACACACCTACATACACACCTACCTACCTACCTACCTACACACCTACCTACCTACCTACCCACCTACCTACCTACACACCTACCTACCTACCTACCTACCTACCTACCTACCTACCTACCTACCTACCTACCTACCTACCTACACACCTACCTACACACCTACCTACCTACACACCTACCTACCTACCTACCTACACACCTACCTACCTACCTACCTACCTAACTACCTACCTACCTACACACCTACCTACACACCTACCTACCTACCTACCTACCTACCTACACACCTACCTACCTACCTACACACCTACCTACACACCTACACACCTACATACACACCTACCTACCTACCTACCTACACACCTACCTACCTACCTACCTACCTAACTACCTACCTACCTACACACCTACCTACCTACACACCTACCTACCTACCTACCTACCTACCTACCTACCTACACACCTACCTACCTACCTACCTACCTACCTACCTACCTACACACCTACCTACCTACCTACCTACCTACCTACCTACACACCTACCTACACACCTACCTACACACCTACCTACACACCTACCTACCTACCTACCTACACACCTACCTACCTACCTACCTACCTACCTACCTACCTACCTACCTACCTACCTACCTACACACCTACCTACCTACCTACCTACCTACCTACCTACCTACCTACACACCTACCTACACACCTACACACCTACATACACACCTACCTACCTACACACCTACTTACCTACCTACACACCTACCTACCTACCTACCTACCTACCTACCTACCTACCTACCTACACACCTACCTACACACCTACACACCTACATACACACCTACCTACCTACCTACACACCTACCTACACACCTACACACCTACCTACCAACCTACCTACCTACCTACCTACCTACCTACCTACACACCTACTTACCTACCTACACACCTACCTACCTACCTACCTACCTACCTACACACCTACCTACACGCCTACCTACCTACCTACCTACCTACACACCTACCTACCTACCTACCTACACACCTACACACCTACCTACACACCTACCTACCTACCTACCTACACACCTACCTACCTACACACCTACTTACCTACCTACACACCTACCTACCTACCTACCTACCTACCTACCTACCTACCTAACTACCTACCTACGCACCTACCTACACACCTACACACCTACCTACACACCTACCTACACACCTACCTATCTACCTACCTACACACCTACCTACCTACCTACACACCTACCTACCTACCTACACACCTACCTACCTACCTACACACCTATCTACCTTCCTACCTACGTAGGCATCATCGTCTCAGGTGGTGGTGCCATAGATGAGGATGTCAAAGCCAACCAGGATGGGAAGAGCAAGCAAGATAGACCTTCCTCCATCAATCTGGAATAATCAGTGTGGAGATCTACTCCACTGCACTACACTACACTACACTACACTACACTACACTACACTACACTACACTGCACTACACTCAGCATAAAGCGTGAACATGATCCGGATTTTCAACACTAATTCAATCATGTCAGTCACTGCATCCATGTGATGGTTGAGAGACTTGATGGCGTGTTATGAAAAGCATTTGCGACAAACTGCAGACATAGATCATCAACAGCTGCCACTTAAGCTCACTCGATACTGACAGTGATGATGAATGAGATGGATGGAGATGATGATAAGAATAAGTGAGGGGGAACTTTGGCTGGCTGGCTGGCTGGCTGGCTGGCTGGCTGGCTGGCTGGCTGGCTGGCTGGCTGGCTGGCTGGCTGGCTGGCTGGCTGGCTGGCTGGCTGGCTGGCTGGCTGGCTGGCTGGCTGGCTGGCTGGCTGGCTGGCTGGCTGGCTGGCTGGCTGGCTGGCTGGCTGGCTGGCTGGCTGGCTGGCTGGCTGGCTGGCTGGCTGGCTGGCTGGCTGGCTGGCTGGCTGGCTGGCTGGCTGGCTGGCTGGCTGGCTGGCTGGCTGGCTGGCTGGCTGGCTGGCTGGCTGGCTGGCTGGCTGGCTGGCTGGCTGGCTGGCTGGCTGGCTGGCTGGCTGGCTGGCTGGCTGGCTGGCTGGCTGGCTGGCTGGCTGGCTGGCTGGCTGGCTGGCTGGCTGGCTGGCTGGCTGGCTGGCTGACAACGAACCAACCAATCAATGAACAACCTTTTGCTCAACAAGTATGCATAAGACGAAAGTGGAGATTGAGATGGATTGGGTATATGGTGAGAAGACGGTTTGGGGACATCATGCTCCAGGCCAAGCCCTCGAGTGGATGTCAAATGGGAAACGATGAGTTGGGCGTCGGAGGTGTGGGTGACATGAAAGAGATGGTATGAGAAAGAAATGATAGGTTATAGGCAGTCATGAAGCCAGACTGAAAAGACTGTAGAGAAGACAGTGAAGTGGCGATGTGTTAGTGAAGCCGTATGATCTACTAGGAACCCAAAGGACAAATAATAGCAATAATGGTCTGTGCTGAATGTGATTTAAATGCAAGTCAATTGCTATATAAAGCAGTTTCAGTCATCACTCTGTATCACTAATAAGAGTGTGCCAACCCTAGCTATCTGAGATAGCCACGCTGGTAATCATTATGACGCTTTTCTTGTTAAGCTCAGCTCACTTTCGATTTTTGTGACAAGACCTACCTAGACTAAACGAATAGTTAAGTATGCCGGATTAACTTGGCAACTGGACAAAACCTTAAGTATTTGAAGTTGGATTAACATCTAGTGAGCAGCTGAGTAGCTTAGCTAGTAGAGAACTACGCCAGAGACCTAGAGGCCACTGGTTTGAATCCTGCTACCAACCGGATTCTCAATCATCATCCAGTATCAGTATTACAAATATGAAAAAGTTGGGCAATCTTCGATATTCACACTGATAATCAGTATGGAACTGGTGTCAGTATTACTCAGTCAAATGTTTTAAGTATGCTAACTTGGATAAGAGAGCTAAATTGGGAGTTTTTAAACTATACAGCTAACTTTCATTTTATTCTGTTTATTAAGAATGTCACACAGAGAAGGAATAGTATCATTTACTGGATAACATCTCCGATATCATCTATTATACATATTCATATCACGTAACTAACTCCACAACTTCGAGTGAGAGTTTATATAGT